TCTCGTGGTGGCACTTACAAAACATAATTGTATATAAGGTCAAGTCAAATATTCTTTAAAAGTAAAAAAAACATATCCATAGACTTCCTTTTAAGCAAATAGGGTTCAGAAATAAAACCACGTAACTAAAATATTTATAAAACATAACTTTTATTAATATACTAATAAAGCATAACTTTTATTAATATACTAATAAAACATAACTTTTATTAATATACTAATAAAACATAACTTATATAAAACAGATTTTGGTAAGTTAAAATATACGTAAAATATATTTTGGTAACTCAAAATATAATATAACTTACCTTAACTTTAATACCTTACTCTTTTTTTATACCACCAAAAACCCTTTTGACTTACACTATTTTTCTTTCCCTCTTTTCTCCTTTCTTCTTTCTTTCTTTCCTTTCTTTCTTCTTTCCTGTTCTTTTCACTCAGTTAACTATCTCCTCCTATTTATAGGGAGGGACGATCATTAGTAGGCCAACGCGTGGCGAGCAAATCTGCCTCCAGATTCAATTCATTAATTAGATAGGTTTATTCTTATTGTTAATAAATATTTAAAATAATTACCCTTTGACCTAATATTTTAATATAATTATATGAATAATTTAATTTATAATTAAATTACATTTTATCATATGTCAACAGAAAATTAATTATTTATTTTACTACCACACCCATTATTATTATTTTGACCCAAATTTTTAATATAATTATATAAATAATTTAATTCATAATTAAATTACACTTTATTTTATATTAACAAAAAATTAATTATTTATTTTACTACCACACTCATTATTATTATTATTATTTATTTATATTTTGACCCCTAAATTTTTAATAATTATATTATTTTACAAAATTACACATAATAATATATAATAAATTATATATTTTTCCAACTGAGATTAAATAATATTAGTATAAATTCTACAGAATAATTAAAAATCTGGGTTGTTACACGCCAAAAGTCCGATATTTGGTCACTGAAACGATTTAGCGACTAAAAAGTTTTGTCACCAAGTTCATCGCCTATACCTTCTCGGCGATTGTTTTAGCGACTAAACATGTGTTTAGTCGCTAAAAGTGAAAGATTTGGCTACTAAATTATTGGAGTTGGGTTAGTGGGCAAAAGTGTTATTTTTGGTGACCAAAATATTAGTCGCCAAAAGTTATAACAAAACTAATTTGAACTATTTAGAGACTAAAGTTTTAGCCGCCAATTGAATACATACCAACCGTATTTAGTCGCCAATTGAACTATTTGCCGACCATGGAATTTAGTCGCCAAAGGATGCCAACTTTTATTCATTTTGCTACTACATTATTAGTGGCCAAAACATTTGAAAATAGTTTTTGGCTACCAAAATAGTTAGTAGCCAAATACTATATTACAAATATATATATATATATATATATTTTTAAAATTTCTGAACCACCTCTATCCATTATTAATACAACCTATACAATGTATAAACAATAAAATTCATCAATACTAAATATATATTATCAACCATTCAACAACGTACACGCAAAAAATTCCATTCGACATCCAATTCCATTCCATTCCATTCGACATATGTAATATAAATTCCATACGACCCAAGTACATCCCAACCTCAATAATTTCAAAATATACATAATAGAGGAAATCTGTACCATACCAAAAAACTAATATTGAAATCTGTACAACCTGTATCCATTATTAGTACAACCTGTACCCTGTATAAACAATATAATTCATCAACGCTAAATATATTATCAACCATTCAACAATGTGCACACATTTCACTTCCAACCATCCAAAAAATTAATATTGAACGTCCAATTCTATATATAATACAAATTCCATACGAACCAAGTCTAATCCAATGTCAATAATTTAATTCCATACATAATACAGAAATAACCAAATTAAGTAACAAAAAGGACATATGTACCACAACAAAAATTTAATCTGTACTGCCCCAAAACTATTTTGTACCAGATATTTACCACACCAAAAAAGTAATTTGTACGAACCACTATATATATGGATAGAGATATAAAAACAATGTCCTCTCATACTTGTCAAAAAAAATCATATCCACATTTGAGTGTCCAAAACTAATAGCAAAAAAAAAAAAATCATTAGTTTGGTGCCTATAGAGGCACTTCTGGACGACATGCAGCAACTATATTAATTTCAAACATTAAAAGACAAGCAGAGTAATAGCTATTAAATAATGAAAGACACCCAAATATGAACTAGTAGACGAGCATCGATTCTATGAATTAATGTCAAAAGTTATGTTTATGGCAATTAAAAGGGTCATAGTCAACAAAAACACTACACAATTTACCAAAAATATTGTTCAACATAAACTAATAAGGAAAGAGTTAAACAAAATATAGTTTAAGATGATATAACCAAAATAGTTACCCATGACATGGACATTTCATGTTCTACCACATAAACACATTGTCGCCCCGCAACCGTTTTTTTCGACTATTTTTATGACATTTTCAACTCTAACTCCCAACATAGGTGTCATATTTACGTACCGTCTATCCCTATATGTCACTTTTGGCATTGGGAAGCTTCCTGCTACATAAAAACAGTGGTTCGGAGGTTGTTTTGCATTTTCGCCCCCAACACCTTTTCCGACTAAATTTATGACATTTTCAACTCTAACTCCCAACGTATGTGTCCTATTTACGTACCGTCTGTCTCTACATGTCGCATTTCTCACCGGGAATCTTCCCGTGGTTCGGGGGTTATTTTGCATTTTCCTCCCCCGAATGCCTTTTCTTGACTAAATTAGTATTACATTTTCAACTCTAACTCCCAGCGTATGTGTCCTATTTACGTACCGTCTGTCCCTACATATCGCATTTGTCACCGAGAAGCTTTTCGTTACGTAAAAAAAATGGTTTGGGGGCTGTTTTGCATTTTCGCCTCCCGAACTCCTTTTTCCAACTAAATTAATGACATTTTCAACTCTAACTCACAATGTATGTGTCCTATTTACGTGCCGTATGTCCCTACATGTCACATTTCGCACCGGGAAGCTTCCTGTTACGTAACAATAGTGGTTCGGGGGCTGTTTTGCCTTTTCGCCCTTCGAACCCCTTTTTTCAACTAAATTAATGACATTTTCAACTCTAACTCACAATGTATGTGTCCTATTTACGTACCGTCTGTCCCTACATGTCACATTTGTCACCGGGAAGCTTCCGGTTACGTTAAAACAGTGGTTCGGGGGCTGTTTTGCATTTTCGCTCCCCGAATCCATTTTTTCGATTACATTAATGACATTTTCAACTCTAACGATTAACGCATGTGTCCTATTTACATACCGTCTGTCCCTACATATCACATTTTTCACCGGGAAGCTTCTCGTTACATTAAAACAGTGGTTCGAGAGCTGTTTTCCATTTTCACCCCCCGAACCCCTTTTTTCAACTAAATTAATGACATTTTCAACACTAACTCCCAACGTAAGTGTCATATTTACGTACCGTCTATCCCCACATGTCACATTTGTCACCGGGAAGCTTCCCGTTATGTTAAAACAGTGGTTCGAGGGCTGTTTTGCATTTTCGCCCCCTGAACCCCTTTTTTCGACTACTTTTATGGCATTATCAACATAATTTTGCTAATCTTGGATGTGGTCCCTATCCTTGGGAGTTAGTCTGCCTCAAAAATTCAATGGACAAGATTAAACAAATAGAACAAACGAAGCAATTAGATGAAATCCACCACTGCCACTACTTGTAGCCCCTTGGTAGCCCAAGTACACCAAGACAAAGACACTTACTATTTCCTGACACTCAAAGGAACCAAAAAAACATGCCAACCATAAGACAAAGCCAATCACGATTTTGAAAGCATCATGTATTAGTGCATATTTCAGTCACCAAACAACTTATAAGTGAAATGACATGGATTCACAAACCACATTTAAAGCATGCTTGGAAAAAACAATGTGACAGTGACAGCCAATTCCTAAGCAACAAAAATTGAGGTCCTTTGGTAAGCTAGTGTCCTTTTTATCACAAAACTAAGCAGTCACCTTGTGCAAAACAGAGAATTAATAATAATTTATTGTTTAGAAGTGAAGGACTTCCCATTGGGACAAGCAGCACAAATATCACAACCCAGAACTCATTCTATCCCCTCAATTCCAGCCAAACATTAACAAACCCACCAGAAATGCTTTCATTTTACTTTTTCTAGGAAAAACTCAACAACAATATTAATTAAGTTCTAAAAACATAGCTACAAGAAGCAGTTATATTGTCAAAGATACATGATAAAATAGGTGCAGAAATCTTAAAACCAGAATTAAAGAAAAGTAATAGCTAGTGTCTTATTTTTATTTGTAAGTTAATCTTCCAATGGAAAATGCTGCCTATAGGACATTTATAATTAGAAAGGATCTCTGCATCTTACCACTTTATTAATTATATCATGCATAAGGCTGTAACATAAGACCTCGTTTGGGAACAGGCTAATTTAGTAACTTTTTGGCTATTTGGCTAAAAAAGTAGGTAAAAAAAACTTATATGTTTGGGATGACTTTTTGACTAATTACGAAAAGATGTGCAAAAAGTAGAGAAAAAGGAGAATCTTTGACTTTTTGGTATGAGTTGTTGGCTTTTTGGCTAAAAATGTAACTTTTTGGCTTTTTTGCTAAAAAGGTAAGTCCCCAAACGGGGCCTAAGGATACATCTTGATGAGAATATTATGAACATCCGTGACCTTTCACAACAGTAAAATTGAGACAACCCATTTTGCCACAAACTAAAGCAAACAAATGTTACCAATAATTAAATATAGATTACGCTAATTTTCTGAATCAGACTTAAATTTCCTTTTTCCTGAATTGTAATCCCAGAGTAAAACTTTCTAGTTCCCTAACCCTAGAAGTCAAAGATTTACCGTATCTTCTTAACTAAATAATGGGACCATGCTCCGGAATACAAATTCAGAAAACATCAACAGCCCGAAACATCAAACCATATTGAAGAATATATTGTACATGTGAATTCAGAAGATGCAGTTTATACATAATATGCTGCTATTGATCCAACATACTGATCATGTTTCCATCACACATTTGTTCATGTTTACACATTGCAGTCCCTCTATTGTAATGTTTCATTATTCCATACCAGCAAGTGTTAACACAACGGAGAAGAATAAATTAATCTTTTCAGTAAGTAAATGTAAAAATAAATTTATAAAATGTACAAACGATCCTAACTCCCAATGAACAATTGATTGCAATACACAGAACAAAGTCAATACCTCTTTCTTCTTCAAGTCTGCCAAGCATGACTCAAGCAGTCCATGGTAACTTGTACACCAACAGATTAAAGCAGAACCCCTTGGGCCCATTCCATGTACTAGGGCTGCCTAAAATAGGAGGGCCAAAACAACTTAGGCAAATGTCTAAAAAATAGTTAATACGAAAAAGTAAATAAAATGTTGTTGACCATTAATGATTAAACCCACCTTTACAGCAGCTTTTGAAACTGTAGGATGTGAACTCAAGCCGAAGTAATTGTTGCTCAGAAAAATAAAGTAGTTTTCTAAACTTTTGAGGGCAGGCCCCTGTTTCAGCTTCTTGGTTGCTACAGTCAGCATCATCTCCTACAACCATACAAAAGATCAAAGGGGTCATACTAATATAACAACTCATTGGACTATCAATAAGAGAGGAAAATGCCCAAAATAAATACACATTTCAATGCACTTCATACAGATTAGAATTTTCCAAGATAAATACCATAACCTTCAAACAATAGGATGTTTTATCATTCTACTTTTTATTTTAATTTATTTTTTAGTTAGGAGGGTAATAGGGGAACCCTCAGTTTACCATAACCTTCCAAAATAAATACTAATTTATTTTTTATTTTAATTTATTTATCATTCCAAGATAAATACCATAACCTTCAAACAATAGGATATTCTTCATGTGACATTGACTAATAAAATCATCCGAAATGTCAAAAATTAGTTCTCAAATCCTTGATCTCCTCTATAAGACAGGAACCCCCAGTTTCCACTTCTTATTCTTGCAGTCACTCCACAATACTCACCAATGCTAGTCAGTATGATTCTTACTTTATCCATTCTACTTTCTTATAACTTCAATAGAATTTGACATGTTTTCTTTGTTCTCAATTATTTTATTTTTTAAAAACAAAAGGAGAAAAGTAAAAAAAACTTGTTCAAGGATCTTAATAATTGTTCAAACAAATAATGTGTTGGTGCATTTTGCAGTATTTCTGTGAGCGTTCATTATGTTTCAATAGAAACATTGTAATTTCAACTTTCCATCAATGTTTCAATGGAATGAAATGAAACTTAATTCCTTGGTCAATATAACCAGCATATCTTAAACCCCAATTTTTAACATATTTTTTTTAATTTTTTTTTTTGGTTTTAAACATGTTAAATTAATTGATTCCCAATCACAATCATCCTTTACCCTATACTTTCAGTAAATTGAATCTACTTTCAGTAATTGGAAGCAAATAAATTCCATTATCAACATACATGAAAATTTTTAAAAAATAAAAATAAAAATCAGATCATATACACAATTGACTCGTATACAAACACGAATCATGAATAAATGGAGTGTTTGGCGAAGTAGAAATTACTCGATGAGCAAGAGAAAGGGCATGGTATTGCATTCGAGGACTGCGGCCAAAATCGCCGAGAACCACCGCCGCCGCCCTATTCCTCCGCTCAATCTTTGTCTCTTTTTGCCTTGAAATCATCAAATTGTTGTTACACAAACTTGTCATACACTAAAATTTTGTATTTTCAGGATCACAATTGCGAAGAAATCTCAGCTCGATCACTCTCTCTCTCAACAATAACAGTGTGACTCAACAATAACAGTATACATTTTGTGAAGTATAATGAAATTAATGACCACCTATTAAGCGGTCAATAACCATTTTCATAATGTTAGATCTTTAAAATAAATGAAGGGTCATGTTTGTTAAATAAATAACCATCAAGGGTAATGCTAGATCTTTAACCATTATCACTGGAGTCATCACTGCCCATTGAATTTGTTAAATAAATTGGTAAGGTAGGGTCATGTTTTGCATAATTTGTTAAAAAAAAAAATCTGCTAGTGAAACATATATATATATATATAGAGAGAGAGAG